AAATTTTTAAACCAAATTTTTTTAAAAGAGAAAAATGTTAAGCTATATAGAAAGGGATACAGAAAAATAAGTTCTACCAATTCCTTCTTTAAAAATCTCTTTTGTAGAGATTTACTAACTTGATATTTAAGGTCACTCAAGTTAAAACTTAAATGGTATCTTTCCCAAGTAACTGAATTGTGCGATTCTGATTTTAAACTAAAAATTGTTCTTTCTATTTGTAAATGAAGTCTTTCTCCAGTCCTTTTGCTGCAAGATAGAATGTTATAAATATTGGGTTATCAAAGTCTTTTATAACTCCAAAATTCTGTGAAATTATTCTTCAAAATCTGTGAAGAATTTTCACAGAAGCCAGTGTGCTGGTTCCTTCTTGGTCTATGTCTCGAATGGGTTATTTTAGACACCACTCACTTACGCTCAAGACCTTTAAAAAAAAAAAGCTTAAGCTTTCAAAATAAATGACTTCACATCTCTGGACTTCAGATTTGGGATGTATAAAAATGAGGCAAGCAGACTAGATGTTCTCTAAAATTATGTCCAATTCTAAAATTTTGTGAGTTTAAGATTTTGGGATTCAGTGATCTCTTGAAATAAATCTACCTTTAAAGGTATCAAACTAGTTTCTCAAAAAAAATGTAATGCTCAACTCCAATTACAAAGCTTTTACAAATTAAGCATAAAATACATGTTATTATTATAAGATTAGGCTAAAATAGTTTCATCTAACAATGCCTGGTACTCAATAACAGTGTTCCACAATCTTAAATCATATTCAATAAAACAACCCATGTCCCCTAGGAGTTAGCAAATCATCCTAAGCAGCAGTATTTATGTTATCTTTTATACTGTGATGAGAAAGGGCGCTGTAGATCATGAAAAAATGTGTAACAAGAAAACTACATTTTTATTTAAAAAAAAAAAGCTGCTACTGTTTTGTGAAGAGGTAAAGTTGTGATATTTTTACACTATTTCCTAAAATACAGAAGTGGTATCATTAATATAGCAAGCAAGCTCACTAAATTGACTGAAATAGATAATTACTTTCAAAATTTCCAAAGTTAAGCTAAAATATCTAAAGTCTATGAACTGTACCTTATTATCTTATCAGTTATCTGCTATTCTTAGCTGCTTTTGGAAGAGAAATGGAAATTAAAATGAAAGCAACTTGTCCACTTGTTACTTTCCTTTGTAGGAATTCTTACTCAGACACATCTTTAAAAAAAAAGCTTAAAAAATAAGGTAAGTAGCAAGCCTAAGATTTCCAACACCATATACTTATCTTGAGCTTTCAATTAGAAATTCTGGGGGCATGTCAACTTATGTAGTACACAGTACACTGTAGCCTTACTAATTCATAATAAGGACAGTTTGGTAGATTATAAACAATCCTTAAAGTACCACTGTGCCTTGTACATAGTAGACCTAGGGGGAAAAAACATGCTTAATTGGTTATTCTTTTAAAATACCATAATGAGTTGCCGCAAACTAGGCCAATGGTGTCCAACTCCAATAGAAATGGGACACTAAATGATACATGAGGATCTCTATGGGTCACATATTTTTAAAACATAATTATTAACCTATGTTTTATTATATTCTTATTTCATTAAATGCTTCCCAATTACATTTTAATCTGGTTTGGGTTGCATTTTGGAGTGTTTGGGCCGTATGTGGCCCATGGTGTTTGACATTCTGCCATGGGCCACTACCTGGCCAACGTTTCACCTCTATGGTTTCTTCCAGCTCCAATCCTTATTAAATCCATCTTTAATTAACAAAATGGTTGGCAAGCAAATTAATGTTCATAAAAATACCTGAGAAACATAGCATAAAAATATTTTCCAGTAACAGTCTCCATTATTGATTTCTTAAATTTTAAGGAAAGAAAAAGAAATGGAATGGGAAGAAATTGAGGAGGAGATAGTCTTGGCAGGAGCCATGGCAAATCTTCGGAGAGGGATAGTTTAAAGTATTTGCAAGCCTAACGATTTATTAGAATTCTGAGATTAAAAGATAAAACATAAATATATGTATAGCTATTCATTCCAACAGGGCACACTGAGTAGTAATCATTTTAAGTATCTTTCACATAATCTGTGTTCACCTCAAACACTAAAATTTAGATGGGTCATATAGTCTTGAAAATTGTTTTTTAAAAAATACTGGGGATACAAATAGGGTTTTAGAACAGCACTGGATGCCCACGACCAATTCCAACCCAAGTTATCCTCTCCCTTGCCCCTGAATCAAGTGGTAAATTATATTCTGATGAATCTACACCATTAGATCAAGACAAATTATCATATGGAACTATACTGCCTTGCAAAAAAGACTGCCACAACTAAGAAGCAAAGAACTGCTATGATGTATATAAAAACAAATACCTGCTGATTGAACAACTCCTTCTATTTAGGAAAACACTATAACAAATACTCCTAAGAAGAAATCTAAGTCTTCAACAAGTAATGTTAATACATTTTAGGAGGGCTTAAATTTAACCTCAATTTAAGTAGGAAGCCATTTGTACTGAATTTTTATAATTAAAGTTCAGCACAAAAATTTAAGAGATTTTGGGAGCAGCTAGGTGATGCAGTGGATAGAGCTCCAGCCTTGGAGTCAGGAGGACCTGAGTTTAAATTCGACCTCAGACAGGACTTACTAGCTGTGTGACCCTGGGCAAGCCACTTAACCCCAACTGCCTCACCAAAAAGGCAAATAAATAAATAGAAAGATAGATTTTAATTTTAGAATGTATGAGAGGCGGTGTAGTGAAGTAGATGGAACCTGTTTCAAACTCAGGAGGATGGAGTTTGAAGACATTCAGTCTCTCTATGTACAGGGTTAGACTTTATGCTGCAGAGAAGGTGCAGACATGCATTGATCTAAGTTTCCTCATCAAAGTCCCCTATACCAATGAAATCACAGGTACAGTCCCTCTTCTTACAATACAGAATTGCTAGGGATACTAAACATTTTGGTTATATAGTAACAGGCCAGCCACAAATTACAAACTAAAAGGAATTCAACGTGGGAGCAGCATTATTTCTTCAAAGGCTGTACAAAAAAGTAATAAAGCATAACTTCAGAATATTTTCTACAAATTTTTTTCCTACAGTTTCAGACTAATTTAGGAGCCTCCTTTTCAAATAATTTATGAATGTTAACACAACATGAAAGACATAAATAGTAATTCAATCGTTTGAATTTTAATATATAAGGATAGAGACCAAACCTGTGATTTCATTCCAGTTAAGGAAATTTCAGGTGAGGTAACTTACTCTATCAATACAGGTCAATCCTTCTGCAATTTACAGGCTTAAAACTGCCCTGTGGTCATACATCCAGGTTGTGCAGAGGCAGGATTTTAACCAAGCTCTAACTGGCTTCAAGGATAACTCTCTAGCCACTAGACCACACTACCTTTCAAAAATATGACTGGTGAAAAAAAAAGATTTAATTTCCCTTCCTTTCCACCTACCTTCCCTAGGCCACCATATACCAATCAAAAGAAGGTGATCACTTTATGTTCACTATGAACCTAGATTTAAGTCTGCCAACAAGAACTGCTGTATCTCTTACTTATAAGGTTCCTACATCATCTTAACTCTGCCTTCTTATTCTTATTACACACAAAAAAAATTATGCGAAAAAATGACACTAGACAGTCAGCATTAGCAAATAACTACTGACTCTGTGCCTATAAAGAAATAACATCTATTTGGCATGGTTTGTAAAAGCAGCTTTATTTTAGTCATACCTTATATATGGACATATACTATTACAGTCAAATTGTTCATCAATTAAGATTTATAGATAACATGTGTTTATACAATAAAGACCCTATTAATCATATATTATACTAATCATAAAAAATATATGTTCTCAAACTTTCTGGTTTCAAGATCCTTTATACTCTTAAAAATTCCAGAGGACCACTGAGAGCTTTTGTTTATGTGGGTTATCTCAATCAGTATTTACTATATGAGAAATTAACATACCTTAGTATTATTGTGAAAATACTTTTTGATCCCATGGATCCATGTGAAAGGGTCTCAGGGACTCCTTGGGAGGCGAGGGAGCAGTCTCTGGATCACACAGAAAACTGGTGATATAAAGCATCAGTGGCTAGAGTGCCAGGCCTGGAGTCAGGAAGACTCATCTTCCCGAGTTCAAATCTGGCCCCAGATACTTAGTGGATGTGTGACCCTGAAAAACCTGAATGAGGTCATGGAGAGTCAGACACGATTTATAATGACTGAACAACAAATCTTAAGACGATGTTATAAGTTACCTTTGACCAATAACCCTTAAGAAAATCCTAAAAGGTAGATAGGACAGGTTCTACATCTATTAAATGTTCAATGCTGCACTTCAGTAATTCAGAGTAGGATTCTTTGCAAGAGAATATAACCTTCTTAAAGGTAGGGACCATTTTATTATTATCAGAATATTCCTAACACCTAGCACACAGTAGACACTTAATGTTAAATTTAGTGGAAAAGGATTTGGAATCTAAAGACTTGAATTTCATTCTCCACTCTTTAATAACAAATTTAGGGACATGTCACTTCCCTTCTGAGTCTGTCTCTTCATTTGTTGAATGGAAACAATACAAAGTTCTAATGAGGAAAGCACTTTAAATATAAGGTATTATTTAGAAGCACACCGTTGTTGTTGTTTGTCCTCAAAGAGGACCATGACATCAAGAAGGTGATGCCGTGACTTGCAAGTGAACTGGATTTAAGTGAGGCAGGGCATGCAAAGTTACCAGCCCCACTCTCTCCTCCACAGCCATCTGCTTCCAGTGGCAAGATAGGCAGCTTACATAAAACTGTTACACTAATTTCAAGCTAACTGTGCATTAGAAACACTTCATCAGATGTTACTATATTATTTTCATAGGTATGCTCCCTCAATAAAATTTAAGTCAAAGAGGGCTAGAATCCTCCATAAGGAGCACTAAGTACAGTGAGTCGTGGTACACACCTCAAAAAGCATCTTCAATGGATTTGTACTTAAGCACAGTTTAAATTTAAAAGACTCTCCATAAATCTTGGCTTTGCTGTTAGATTACTTGACAATGTGAAAATCTGATACATTTCTAATAAAAAAAAAAGGCAGGTTAATTTAAACAAACCTTGATTCTGTCTTGAATATAATTTACAAAAATAAAATATTTAACAGATGTGTGAAATTTGACACAGAGTGTGAAATTTGACACAGGAAACTAGAGAAATACAAAAAAAACCACCTGACTTTATAGTTTAGTATTAAATATGTAATTAGTTCATGCATTTTACATGCTTTTTTGGATTTAGGGTTGAAGACTAAGATATACTAAAGTAGAGTGGTCTATTCTATTGAGTAATCTGGGTAAAAACTTCCTAATTCTCACCTACTTACACCTTTTTCTAAACACTGATTCTAGAGAAGCAATATTGATAATGTTTAAATGAGTTGTACCACCTCAGCTATCATGAACTCATAATCCATGTAAGTATTTAGAATAGGAAGAGTCACACAGCACTAACATTTAGGTCTAAAGAAAAGTAATAGTTACTGCCACAGGTTACAAATCAAAATGCTTAAAGTCAGATTTTAAGTGAGTAGCTTTTACTTATTTCAATTTAGTTTATTGATAGGATCTCACTGGTACAAAGGTTCATGACAAACCAGGTTATTCAATACCTACCTTCTCAGAAATAGGTATTATTCTGGCCACTGGAGGGCACCCACATTGACCAATAAACATAATACTCTCAACTTTACAGCAACCTGAATGGGAGGAAAGGAGAAGGGCCCTCACATAAGCCACAATCCAACATATACAATTAGCCTACTTGAAATAAATATGACAATATGCTTAAAGGATCTGACACTGAAATTTCTATCTCTCCTAAGAGACTATGGTCCTAATAAAATTAATCTCCCCAACAACATTTCCCCCCCTCTTCTTAATGATGAAGATAAACAGTAATACAAAGATGACAGATGAAATAGTATTAAGTCTCCTAGGACTACAAAAACTCTGGCCTGCTAAGCAACAAAAAATTTTCCTTTGTACTAGAACATTTATATTCCTAAATGTAGAGACAACTATGATGCCTGTTCTCAATTTCACAAAGGTTTTTTGTCAGAGGGTGGGGGCAAAGCTTTAAAATCTCTTGTTCCGATCTGAGCTAAAAAAAAAAGCTTTGTTCAAAACAAAAGTACTAGATAAATGTAATCCAGTTCAATTAAGTTATTCTCAGAATTCAAAGAGTGTTTCAGATTAACCCCTTCCCATCAAGAGAAATACAAAGGAATAGAAAGTTGTCTAAGCAAATAATTCATAACTAGTATTTTGACCATATTTGTATCTACCAGATTAGAAGCAGCCAAGAGATTTCAGGAAAACACCAAGTAAATACAACTAAATTAAAAAACTGTTACAGTTGTCTGCTACAAGACAGGTGGCTAGTATTTTACTAGGGGTCATTTGACTTCTATAATACAATTACATCTTGTTACAAGCAACAATTTTTATTAGATACAGTAACATTTTACTATTAGTTATTGTAGAATGTTACTTAACCCGATAAACCAATTCTCATCTTTCAACAAAAAGCTTTTTTAAGTCCACATTCTCAAATTTATATTTAATTTAAAATGAAATTCAGGAAGCAATTTAATTGGGCTCTGTTAAATTGTGACTACAGCCCATCTTCTCCCTTTTCTAGTCAAATACATAAAGCACAAATTAAATTTTATTCCTTTACTGAAAACTAGCAGTAAGTTACTATCTCTAAAACATAATGATGGAATATAAGACAGATTTTAACAAATGTGTTACTAAGTTTCAATATGCCCTGATTGGTGTTCAAAAAAAAATTTTCCAATTACACTAGCACATTTATATTCCTAACGTGCGTTAAGTGCCCAAATCTATTCTTAAATTCATTACGCTGTCCTGTCTGAGGGCTTTAAATTCACTGCTATTTGCCAACTGTATAATGGTCATTCTCAAATGTTTTTTAGTTCTCTAACCCTCACAAATTGGTATCATTAGCCTTCTACTCCCAATCTTTTACCTGCCTTCTGTCTTCCTAATTCACCTTAAATCACCACGGGGTAACAGGCAGGAGAATGAATGTTTGAGGAGGTCCCACAGTTTATTATTCCCATTACTAACACCAGTAACAGCTGTTTAGCAGTAGGAGCTGGGTTCTCATGATTTCAACAAAATATTCATTCAAAAAATTATTAGGTACCTACTAAGCAATCAGTGCTCTCAATGAACTTAACTGTTTAATGGGGATGACACACCCAAATACAAAACAGATTATCATCTTGTCAGAGAAAAAGGTTTAGAAGGGAAAGAACTATCACCTCAAAGTGTTGGGGACAAGGGAAGGGGCAGAAGGGAATCAAGGTTCAGAGAAGGTAGGTCCAAATAATAGAAATGTCTTGGACTCCTAGTACATAGAGTCTTAGACTTTTAAGTCAGAAGAAACCTGGTTTCAATTGGGGTTCTGACACCCATGCAACCTTGGACCTCTCTCTGATCTTCAAGTTTCTTAAACTGTAAAACGAAATAAAATACCTCTAATAATCTAATAAGGTAGGTATACTGTGTAAAAAAGGTGCTTTACAAAATCCTACTTGTATGTCATGGAGGATATATTTCTACTAGGTCCCTAGTTCAATGTAAGCTCCTTGAGGGCAGGGACATTGTTGTCATATCCCATGCTATGCATGTTTTACACATAATATATGTTCAATGCTTGTGGGATTAAGTCCTGAAAAACAGCCAGTGTATGTTAAGCAGGAGACTGCAAAACTGGAGGCATTCTCAAGTACAGAGAACAAAACCGTAAAGTGAAGTGAGAAGAGGAACTACAATGTGAACCTTAATAGATCCATGTTGATAGCTTCCACTTAAGGCCCACTAATACCTTACTGTGACACGGAGGGCACACCAAGTAGGAAAAGCAAGATGTTTAGTAATTAAATTCTTAGGAGTCAAATCATCAGAAAGTGACCAGGTAAAAAAAATTGGGGGGGGGGAAGCATTAGCAACCCATATAAGATTATACAGAAGGCGTTACAATCTGTCAAGAGTTCCCAGGACAATGAAATCACAATTTTAAAAAATAAAATCATCTTTGTACTAAACACTTATATATAACCTAGGCTCGCAAATACTAATAACTGTCTTGTTGAACCATGTTAGTCCCTTAATGAAGCCTCATTGGTCTTCTCTACAAAGTGGCAAAATGGTCACAGTAATTTTGTTTGGGTCCTTTATGAGGATTTCAAATCTTAAATTTACTTCTCAAAACTTTTAGATTTAAGTAGCTTCTACATTTAACTTTTAGAAAATACATTTAACCTCAAACTTTTAAAAGTTCTTTAATGACAGTACTGTAATAACCTCAGAAATAAATGGTCTAATGCAGAGATTCTTAACCTAGGGTCTATAAACTTTTTTTCCTGGCAGTAGTCTAATAAATGTATTTCAATAACTAGTTTTCTATTGTAATCTTACATATTTTATGCACTTAAAAACATTCTGAAAGGTGATCCATAGGATTCACCAAGCTGCCAAAGGAGTCCATGATACACACAAAAATTAAGAAACCCTGGTCTAATTTATTTATGAAGGGAGTCTCAAAGAAATTAGAAGAGAAACATCAGTTACTAAACCTTTGGGTGGCAATTTTTGCTTTAAAATAATGTATTAAAAGATTTGTTACTGGAAAGTAAAAATTAAGTCTGACAAGTACAAATGTAATTAATTCCTTAATTCAAGCAACCAGTATACTGCACCATAACATAGCTGCCATCACAAGATATCCAATAAGCTTTTTCAATGAAGTTGAAGCAAAGAACTTGAAGACACCTGGAAGTCATCAAACCTTACCAAACATTGTGACTGAAACGGAATAATTAAGTGATATCTCAAATCATAAGCCTACACGTAAAAGATAACTTCACTAAACTAAATCTGAAAACTCGTTACTTTTGACTAAAACCTGTCTCAAAGAAACCCTTCAGCAGCCAAGTTTATGTCTAGTCTACAAAGCTCATTTCACTAAAACCACTCCTAGATTTCCTTTTGCCGACCTCCGCATACCAGCAGCGAGCCTCTCACTCCATGCACCACTCACATACTTTGGGGGAGGGGAGACAGATGTCTGGAAAATACAAAGTAGGGAACAATGCATATTTCAAGAGAGAAAAAAAAGAAGGAAACCATTACACAGAAATGCAAAGCGTTTCAAGCTGGAGAAAAATGTTAAGTATATAGTTGATACATAGAAACTACTGTGGGAACTTCCTTCCCAAATCCCTTTCCAAAGTCTCTACCCTAGACAAAACATTGAAAGAAGTTGCCTTGTATCAAGTTTCGCTTGGTCAGTTTAGCAGCGAAAAGAAAAAGAAATTCAACTCACCACAAAAAGCTTTAAACGTTTAGTAGTTACTGTAAGGACATAAAAGAAGTCCCTAAATCAGATGGGAAACAAAATATAGTCACAAACCCTAACAGGAGATAGATATCAGATTCTAGTTGATTTAAACCAGTCGGGTAGTCCCCCAAGTAAGCAAACCCTAAATAAATCTCGGCTGTTTCTGAGTTTGGCTCAGATGAAAAGTTGCTTGGTTTTCGTGTTCCAGTGCCAGATGTAGCAGAAAAGCATCTCCGGCAGGAGTGCTGCTCAAATCCACATAGTTGTTAAAAGACCACAGATAGTAATATTCTTTTTTTAAAAAATAAAATAAAACCTTCCTTTCGGTCCTGTAAAGGAAACACAAAACCCGAAGCGAAAAGCCCTTCTCACATCCCAACCCTCACCAAGAGAACTAGGCTTTCTCCCTTCCCCACGGACTGCCAGCAAATAGGAACCCCTAAAACTAGACTGAAAAGTACACGGTTCTCAGAACTATGGAGCTTTCCTTCTGGCAGAGCGGAACCTCCACCTTCCCCACTGTGCACGGCTAGAGCTGAGGCTGGCTCCGGAGGCTGCATCCCCCACTCCACAAAGTGCTCCCCCGACAGAAAGCCCCGCACTTAGACACCCTACCCCCCCACTTCTCAGGGACATCGGGACTCCCCCTGCCGAGATGCGCCCCTCTTCTATTCAAACCCCTTCCCCCCCCGAGCACGCCCCCTCCTCAAGAAGCCCCTGCCCCCCATGCTGTGCTCCGCGCCTCTAGAAGCCCCTGCCTACCCTTGGCGCGCCCCCTCCTCTAAGAGCCCCTGCCCCCCCACGATATACCCCTCTCTTTCAGAAGTCCTTGCTCCCTCCCCTTCCCCGTTGCGCGCCTCCTCTAAAGCCCCCACCTGGCCCACCAGAGAAGGGAGGCTGGCCGTCCCCGACCCGGCCCCGGGGCTCCCTCCCGGCTCCCGGCGGGCCCTCCCGGCCGGCCGCGACCCCAACCACGCGCCCCCCGCCGGGGCCGGGCCCGCTGCAGCCTCCCGAGCCGGGCCGGGCCCGCCAGCCACCCCACCCCGCCCCACCGCCCGTCCCTCCCACTCGGGGCTCGCGCCTCCGAGGAAGTTTCGCTCCCGAGAGCGAACGAGCGAGCGCCCAAACACCTCAGAGGGGAACGGCCGCCGCCCGCCGCAGGGGTCCTCTTGCCTGGGGTCTCCGGCTGCTGCCCCGCCGTGCTGCGCTCCGCTCGCTCGACGCCGCCGAGAACCGCCTCAGCGCCAGCGCCCTCCGCCTTCCGCCTCCGCCGGCTCCCTTCCGTGGGATCCTCCTCCTGCCACAGACCGAGAAGCTTAAAATGGCGCCGCACAAGGAGCTCTTATACGGCACGCAAGACCCCGTGTATCCTGCCGCCGAGGCCGCAGAAGCCGCCGGCGCCGCGCGGAGCGTTCCACTGCGCGGGGGAGGGGATGGGGCGGGGACCTGAGCCGGGAAAAATAGTCCCCACGCCCTGCCGCGGCGGAGCCAGCCGGGAGGCGGCCGAGAGGCGCTAGCGCTGAGGACGCCCGCGGGGGCCGGGGCCGGGGCCGGGGCCGGGGCCGGGGCCGGCCGCCTCGGCTTTGCTCACACCCCTAGCCCAGTGCGGTGGCAGCGGGAGGGGGTGGCGGAGGCCGCGGCGCCGCGAAGCGTAGCCCACAGCGTGGGGGTGCAATGATCTGGGGAAGGGGCGGGGGAGTGATGAGGCCCGGAATCTCCTCTTCCCGAGGTGGGAGCCCGAGACTAGTTCCTGGGAGGAGGGGGAAGGGAGCAGAGGGAGGGCGGCCTTAAAGGGGCAGCGGTGGCGTGACTGTCCGTCCCCCCCCCCGAACTCCCCTTCTCATTCCCCTTCCCTCCCCCGCAACCTGCGGGGACCCCGGCACACAATGGAAACCCAATACCCTCCCCAGCTGCGCCCCCCACCGCGTCCGGGTTCTTGGCCCCGGCCCGCCCCCTTTTCCTTGCAAGGTCTAACTTTAAGAAGAAAGAAATAAATACGCCCGCCAGCCTCGGGCCTTCCACCCAATGGGAGCGGGAGGCTCGGGTCCTGCGGGGCCCGCTGGGGACTCCGTGCCCCCTGGGTTCCGGGGAGGGGAAACCACTACTTTAACATCGGGGACCCAGGGCGCGCCCGGCGCCGGAGCCGAGCACGCGCTTCACACCCCGCGCCCCGTCCCGAAGAGCCCGGGGGGCGCGAGCAGGACGAGGGCTCCAGCCCCGGCCCCAGACGGGGGCACTCCTTGGGGGTTCCCGCTAGCGCCGAGTCCCCTCGGCTCTTCTAAGAAGTTGAGCTGCCGGAGAGCAGGAGAGGCCGGGAGGCGGGGGTGCCAGTGAGGTGGCCGCCGGCCACCAACTCTCCATCCCTCCTGCGCTCTCGGGGATGCCTTAGGGGGCCAAGACCACTCTTGTTCTTCCTTCCTGTCTCTCTCTCTCTTTATTCCTATCCGCCTCGCCTTTTAAGCTTTTCCTTTCTCTCTTCCTTTATTCCAGTCCCCCTTTCCTTTTAAACTTTCTTACCTTCCTTTATTCCTCTTCCTTTCCTTTTAAGCTTCCTTTTTCTTTCTCTCCTCCTCTTTTAAAACTCCCCTCCTTCCTTTATTCCTATCTTCTTCTTTTAAGCTTTTTTTCTTTTTCTTCCGTCTTTACCTTATTCCTGTCTTCGTCTCCTAAGTCTTCCTGTCTTCCTTCCTCTCTCCCTCCGTCTTCTTTCTTTTTTCTTTTCTTTCTTTCTTTTTCTCTTTCTTTCTTTCTTTCTTTTTCTCTTTCTTTCTTTCTTTTCTCTTTCTTTCTTTCTTTCTTTCTTTCTTTCTTTCTTTTTCTCTTTCTTTCTTTCTTTCTTTTTCTCTTTCTTTCTTTCTTTCTTTCTTTCTTTCTTTCTTTCTTTCTTTCTTTCTTTCTTTCTTTCTTTCTTTCTTTCTTTCTTTCTTTCTTTCTTTCTTTCTTTCTGTCACCCAATCACAGATTTCTCCGTAGAAAATTGCTTAGCATCCTTCATTTTTCCCTGCGCCCCCACCCCATCTCTCAAGTCCCACAGGCGACCCCCTTCTTTTTCTTTGCCGAACAGGATCTGACCTCCCTAAAGTGCACTTTCCACCACCCTGCCCCACCCGCCAGACTGCTGAGTTGGGGGGGAAATAATTTTTTTTGGTTTTGTTTTTGTTTGGGTAGCTAGGAGTGAGCAGAGAGACTTTGTTCTAAGAGCTCTTGCGGGGCGCGAGGGCTGTCTCTAGGCTCTGGCCCTTGCTGCTTCAGCTTTCGCCGTGCCAAGGAAGCCAGGCTTGGCCAGGATGGGGTGCATGCCCCAAGCCCGCCCCCGGCTGCTTCTGCTCGCGTTGGGCCAAGGGAGCCGGGTTGGACAGAGAGTGGAGTACATGCTTCCAACCCGACCCCCGACGCCCCTCACGGGGTTTGAAGGCTCCGCAGCGGCCGAGCCGGCTTTGCTTCCCCCCGTTTCCTCTCCTAGTGAATCCTAACTTGGTGCACGAGGGGAAGGAGCATCCGAGGGCAGCGCTTCCTACCCCAAGGAGGCTGAGAAAAGGGGTGTCTAGGTTGAATTCGTACCCTATGTCTTCAGCCGGCATTTCGCCATCTGTGCGCACATACCTCAGCCAGCCTCCGCAGCAGGCCAGGCAGGGGTGAGAAAGGCGGCTTCTACCTGCCCTGGGAGGCGCTGGAACGCGGAAGGTGGTTGGAGAGAAGTTGGGTTCCTCCTTCCCTCCCGTGGGATTTGGAAGGCTGGAGCTGCGTATCCGGACAAAGAAGGGCTGGGGCCTCACGACCCCTCCTTGCTTGGCCGAGCCAGGTGGGCACTAGCCTCTCAAGACGTTGCTAACATTTTTTCAGGAGCAACTGGCTTCTCTATTTGGGTCTTTCAGGTGTGATTTAGGGTATTTGTTCACCAAAGCAAAAGATAACTTTCGCCTTTCGTGAAATGTATCTGTGTAGACTGCCAAAACAGATAATTCAACTCCCAAAGAATTTCTTTAAAAAATAAAAAAAATGGTCTGAACTGTCATTTGGGATGCCCATACTGATCTAATTTACCAAGTGATTGCTCAAACACGATTTAATGTAATTATTACATATATGTGTAAATATATTTATGTAATAATTATATATAAATGATGTAATTGTGTGTATATCTGATATTCCCTGACAAAACTGTGGCTATCTTGGGAAAATCCTGTGGAGGCCCCTTCATCCTGAAGCAGATTCTACGAGATATTAATTATTTTTGTAATGGTTTATTGATGTTATTTTCTATGCCACTGTTATTTTCCAATCCCCCTCCCCTAAAGAACCCTCCCTTTTAACAATAACAAAAATTTTTTTTAGTTAAACCCAATTCAACAAACCCATAGGGCATCATGTCTGACCTATAATACAGAATGCAATACAATATTCTGTTCCCATAGACTACCAAGTATCTATAAGAAAGAGGGGAAAGCATTTCAACTTTCAGCCTCTGCAACATGGATTGGATAAGACAAGTATTCTTATTTTGCAAATATGTTTAACTTAGTCAGGCATGCCTTCAAAATAACCATTTTCCGTTCCCACTATAGAGATAGGAATTATTGTTTAAATAATCAGGAAGTCCAAGTTCACTATGTCTTTATTGATACCAACTATCTAAGTGTAATTTAGGATTATGGACCACCTAAAGATATCCTTTGAATAACATTTATTTTCCTGAAAATCATTCACAAAATTCCATTTTTTACTTTAGTTCAACTGTGCTGAGAAATGCATTGTCACGTCTGTGGCTTTATTTGTGGGTCGTATGTGTGTGCATTTTTGTAGTGTCTTTTGTCTAAGAAGTTCAAGTATGTGGTTTATAAATATCCCCTCTTAATATGCAATCTCTACTTATTTTCAAACAAAATCTACTAATCCCCTCACACATACACAGACCCCTGCAAAAGACATATCTTCTGTAATTTGTTGTGACAGGTTGAAATTAGGGTCATTTCCAAGGAAAAAATGGAGATCCATCAGTAATCTAACAATATTTGTCACAGCTGGATCATATGATAGAATGATTTTTCATAATCTTTTGTCTTGACCTTTATCCCCCCCACCTAAAACACAAAGAAGAGAATGCAAAGACAAGCAACAAAAGTTATCTTAGTGGCTATATAGAATACAAAGCTGTAATTAATGCACTCAAACAATGGACCTTTGCATATAGGTAGTACTCTGGAAATCTAGTTATTCACTTTCTCAAGATGAATTCATGATATACTTTTTTGTAGTTTCAGAGTATTTCAGAGCTGATTTGTTCTTTAAACAGATCTATTTTGTGACTGCACTAAAGATAGTTTTGCTACATTCTCTATCTTTATGTCAAATACCATTCAGACAAACATATGTTTTTGCAATGGAGAAAACCTAATCACAAAGATGATATTCAGATAATGACTTAAATCCTTTGCTTAGAACAATATTCTCCCTGTTTGTATTTGTGACTCTGCCCAGAGTTCTATAGATTCGTCTTATAATATCACAGATGCTAAAGAAGAGATAAGCATAAATCATAGGTTGAGATAAACTTAATT